TCTTTCCGGGCACGAAGTCAAGTAATTGGCAATAAATTTCGTGAGCTGGCTGAGTCGTAAAATTTTCTCACCGCTATTGCCATAAATTATAGATAACACGAAGCTCGCTGGGGGGGGGGGGAGGGAAGGGAGTTAGGCTTAGTTGTAAATCGCGTATAATAGAGCGGTTGAGAGAGGGATGTTGGTAGCCGAGTGGATTAAACGATAGAAATCAGAGCCGTGGCGGGTCGATGAAATTGGCCACGCGTCGATAACAAGGGGGGGGGGGGGGGGAGAGGACATTTTCTTTCTTCTTGGTCATTTTTATTGATTATAATTTTGAAAGCATTCAAGCTTGAAATGAATCGAGCTTTTCATGCTCTACCACAACGTATAGGCTATTCAACGCAAAGAAACATTAGCTACAGTTACTACTATCTATTGCCAAAATTTGTTTACAAACAGTGTAGATACATGCCTGAAGAATTGCTTGGAGAAACTCCACTTTTCAACCCCCTTTAAATTCTAAATTTTGTAATAATCCCTGCAGTTCCAGGTCGATCCAAATTCTGTTTAGAAAAGGTTCCAACCTCCTTTCCGGTTATAGTTAATCGCTGTCGGGTGCATCGCCATCGAGAGAATATTTATCGTTCGCCCAGGGAAAAAGATAAAGCTCCGCGTATTAGCTCGCGTCACGTGTAATTAACGCTCGGTGTCCGGTTCGGTTTTCCAGGTGAGGACGGGGACCGACAAATTAAAATGGCCGTCGAAGCAGGAACGAACGCGTTTAATGCCGGCGGCTCGCGCGTTTTTATTGCGTTGTTCGCGCGTCCTCGAAGCCCCGCGGTAAATCTCGTCCCCAGAAATGCCAACGAAGGATTGCAATGGCGAACAGTCGTCCTTTCCTTTTTCGAATTTCGGTGTCGGCCGTCAGCGAGTTCCGTTCTGACGGTTTCATCCACTTTATGAAGATTAGACTGTCCAGTTCGTATCTAGCTAAGGTAGGGGGCGAACACGGTCACGCTCTTCCTACGAAATCACGACCTCGTATAAAAAAGATCGACTGGGGAGAACGCGAATAAACCTAGTGATCATTTATTCGCAAGATAACGCTCTTCCCTGAAAACTTCTAAATTTAATTGTATTTTCTCTGAAGGAATTGGATTTATTTTTGTACGAGCTGCAGAATGTTTTTAATTGATTGAAAGGAGAGAGTTGCTTTTCTTTTAAGCTATCTATTTCTCTAGGGCTAATTTGTAATTCAATCGTATCATGTCGAGTATTATCATTGGTTATTTCAGAATATACTTTACATATTAATTTAAGTGCCAGACGTACATAGAAATGGGACGAATTTTTGGGACGACCTAATTTGTAGCCGTCTTTGCGTTCCAATATTTACTCTACGTTTATGCGACTATATCTGTCGTAGCTTGATTTTCACGACACACGTAGGTGCGCGCTCTGAAAAGAGAACGCCAGAGCTGACTCATTAGATTTAAGATTTTTCAAAAAGTGGTGTTAGTCGATTTGTGCAGCGAACGGCTCAATTGTAAGTCCTAGTAAAGCCGATTAATTTAAACAACCCTCCCCTTGCAAGTCTAAGCAATCGACGGAGGCTCCGCTTAAAATAAACGCCGAATTGTCCCGGCAGAAACACGAAAATTGTTGCGAAAAAGTGCATCCTCCGAATCGATATCGAATTCCGGAACGACCAAACAAAAACTTTCCTTCTCGCCGATATTAAATATCGCAAACAACAAGCCCGCAATAAAACGCGGGGTCTGCGAACTTTTTACGCCCAGCCAAAGGATAAAGTAGAATTCGTCGTCCCGGTCCGCCGTTCGCCCGGTTTTCTCGTTTGAATAATCGGATCTGGGTATCGTTCCCGTTCGAGATGATTTTTCCCACGTAAATAGCCTGCGCCGCGTTGATACTCGCGATCTTACAGCGCTCCGTTAAGGGAGGGTCGAAAGCCCGCCGACCAAGAAGTCGCTCCAGCGAATTAACATTTAATCGGTAAAGTATACCCCGGTGTAATTTTGCATTGGCGGCTAGCGTTTCCGACCCCCCTGTGCGCGCCGATTGAATTGCAAATCTTCGCCGAAGTGCCGCGCGAACAGGAATACCGTGCACTGGCTAGGACTTACACACGGCGACTAGCAATTCATGGTGGAAATGAAGAAGGACCAATTTGAAAGTTTGATGTAGGGATCGCTCGGAAATATTTTATTGTCAAGGCAGGTGTTGGGTCGAAATTATAGGAAATGAAACTGCGAGAATTGCTTGACTTGTAGTATTATTTTTTCGTAGTCGAACAAATTCCTTACCACGAGTCGTACTCGTCGTTGCAGGCCGAAGGGTTAATAAGATCCACTCTCGCAATCAAATCAGGATTTACCTCAACGCGGAAGGAATCACGGCCACAGGAACCAGCAAATGATTCAGCAAGTGACGATTTTTTATTTTCCCTAAACTACCCTACCTACTTTGCTTTTTCCGATTTGCTTCCAAACATGGAATCCACCCTTTCCCGGGACAGTTTGCGGCGGGGAAACGAATATGTGGAAAAATGCGTTTGGCAAATCGAACAAACACGGCGGTGGTGGAAAAATCGTTAAATTTTATCGATCGGTTTGCGCGGGACTGAAGAGATATTGCCGACCGATCCCACTCGTCGAAAAAATAAATTTCAGACGCCGCGGTGCGGACGGTGAAAAAAAAAATCGTGCAAAAAAGGGGGGGGAAGGAAAACAAATATTTGGCTAGCAACTGAATTCCGCGAGGATGCGGGGAGGGGCGAGGCCAATCTTCTCTTCCCTCTTTAAGGATGATTTACAATTAAATGAAAGTTCCAGGTCCCCCTTCCCGTTCTAACGGGATCGTTTGCAGCGGTTCCGGCGAGCGTATTGTTAAGGATAAGCCGATCTTCTCGATATTCAATTTATACGCCGCAGTGCGTATGATCGATGCGCAGCGTCGATGCAATTCCCATCGAATCTGCATACGGCAATATTCCTGGGCTTCGAATTTCGATGTATTCATCGCTCGCCTGCGCCGACGATGAGCATTGAATCGTCGTCGAACACCTCTGTATTTGTATCATAGTTATCCGGTTTACGGGGTGTGCATAGATCGAAAACGATTTTCGCGTCTTCCATCGGTCCCCAAACACCGTTATTTATCGGCCCCTGTTTTCTATTCGAGCCTCGGCACGGCGATACTCCGTGAAATCTGTTTGGCGAGAGGATTATACCGGGACCTCGATTATTGCAGGGAATGGGGAACTAAGAATCCTGGAGTAATCGAGGTGGATAATTATCGAAGTAATGAGTTCAAAGGGGTCGTCGATCTGTACGGTGCGTCCTCGTTATTATCTTTAACGTCACTTGTTGCTTATCAATGCAGACAAAACATACAATGAAATACTAGGACAAGTCTTACATTGTCTAATCTTCAATAGTCTTGAGACAACATTCTAGCTCGATAGAAATTTTCACGAGTTTTAGTCCGGCAGCCAACGTGTTAAAGTAGATCTAGTCTTCAGCGGTGTTAAGACCTCTTCTAGAGTTACTTCTCACTGCCGAAGTTTAATGCACCACCGCCAAGGGTTTCACGAGTTTCCAAGTACACCATAGTTCCAATTTAAGTTAAAATACACTCTACTTAATAACACCGATTTCCCCATAATCGCGAGCAAATCCGTCGTCAAAGAACGCGGCCCCATTCAATCTGGGCGTAGAACAGCGGACGTCTCCCGCCCAAGGAAGAGGGCTCGACAGACAGCCGGGATGAAGTGGGACGTGGCCGCAGGGCTAGAGGGGAGGAAATAATCTTTTAAGGCGGACGAAGAAGTTGCCGCAGTTATAAACAGAAATTTAGATCCAGTTGCCAAAGTAAACACCGGAACCTCGGTAGTTCGGCGCTTCCTCTCTCGTTCCACCCGAGGAACGCTTGATCCTTCGCTACCTACTGCCCCAACCTTCCTCCTTCGTTCTTCCCTGCTTCCGTCAGCCCGTCGACCCCCTCTCGGAGGGACTTGGCGGGTGGAACGTGGAACTTTTCACTTAGCCCCGTTCGTCGATAAAAAGTTGCCTGATCTAATAACTGGCGACACCAATGACTCCGTCAGCCCTTCCATCACGCCCCCTCTGTCGATCCCTTCGCGTGTACCCTCTCTCTATCGACGTCCCCTCGGAGAGCCCCGATCGAAGTTCTCTTCCAGGTGAAGCCATGCGTGCCATCGCCTCGAACCAGGAGGATCCAAACCGACGAGAAAGTAAAAGTTTTATTCTCCGAGTCCCATGTTTACTTGGGCTAAAATTCGAGGCGCCGTTAAAAACTTGACGAAGTTGGGGGCGTTTACCGAATTCCATGTATCTCAGGGTTGCGCGGGAGTCGTCCGGGTTTGAGACGGAAACGGTCGGGGTCGGAGGTGTTTCCGCGGATGAAAACTTGGACGAACGAGTAGGAAGTTGGCCACGCGCTTAACGGGGGACGCTTCGTCGATCGACAGAAATGACCGCGTCGGGACGTCTGTCGGGGACTAACTGACGATGTTCGTCCTCTTTAGTTCTTCCTTGTTAGCTTCACTTCTGTAGACGTGTAGGATATTCATTCAGGATTTTAGCGATGAAAGTAAATTCTTATCGATGGATTTGAGTGATTTTTCCAGTGATAATGAGCTGTTAATTATCTGAATTTCTGTCTATCATGTAAATAAATTTATTAGGAGGACGGAAATGTAATGTCATTTCTTCTACACCACATTCAAACAAGTACATTCTTTAAAAGTTTGTATTTTTAATCAATGAAATATTAGGTTCTTCTCTATCATAATTTTAAATTGCTACTTCGTTGAGATCTGCAACTCACAAGCGTCGTCCACTATTTCACCCCCAGAAAGAAAACGGCTATCCAATATCTTTAAGCGAAATTTGATAAAAAGTTGGATCGAGTTTCCCAACAAGTCGTACACGGAATGCCTTCTGGCGGGTTTGTTAATAATTGACTAGACTTACCACCGGTCACGCGGCACGTCAGTGAGGGGGTGTCGCCTTCTTCGTAAGGTCCTGCTGTCCCGTTCACTATCCTGCCCCATTGATCCAGAATGGTCGGCTGTTCTGGCGGCACTGCGACAGAAAGGAGAATCGAAGTCAGAACGAGCGAGCCTCGTAACTGGTCGCTTTAAAACCGATTGAACTCTCTGGCGGATGTCGGCTTCCATTTTCGGGGCTGTCGATCGAAATATTTGAAAAACAGGGAAAAGGGAAACTTTTTAAAACGATTGGCACGGTGCCGCGATACCCTGCAGAGGAGTTCCTCTTCAGGCTGGTAAAAAAGTTAGAAATAGATCGAGAGCCACTTTCGAGCTAGGTCCTTTGAAAACAAATTCCCTCCAACTGTAGCCCCGGACAGTATCGATTCGCGTGTAGGTATGATCGTTTGCGGATTAAGCGGGGCGATATTTTTTCCCAGGAATATTCGTTCTCGGACCGGAGGCTCCGGATAAGCCAAACTGGATACTCCTCTCGCTTTTTCGTTATTTTGGAAGTTACCTGCATACGTCCCGCGTATTCGATGCTTTATCAGCGAGGTTACGACGCAGCCACGCCTACATTTGTTCTGGTTTCCACTATCCCTTTCCCTATCGGTCTGTTTAGTCGACGTTCGACCGGGGGAAGCTTTACCGCCGGTATTTTTCAAATTAGACGACGAAAGGGGTGCGATAGAAAATGTTTAAACCAGAGAAATCGCGATGCTTTCGTTTTATTTTTAAAGCTGATCTTGTTTCGTTTTAGTATTTACCTAAATTTTGTTTCTGAAACATCCAATGTACAGTATCGTTTGGGGAGCGAACCAATCGCTTTTAAATCAGTTTTCTGCTGGGTTTGTATCGAAGGCCGAAACACATCGGTTCTATGGAAAAAAGTTGTTTTCGACGCTAAGCTAAAAAATGTTCAAACAACACTTGTGAATGGAATCGTTTCGCTATTTTTCGGGCGATTGAAAGCGTATTTTGACCGACAAAAATCCATCGAAAGCGGACAATGGTCGGCGTAACGCGCCGACTTTCGCGCAATTCGTCGATGACAGAGGAGTCGTCTATCGATATTTAGTATCGCGCAACGGCCGTGTTACGCCAATAGAGAAATGCGCGGATACAGTTCCATTACTCGAGCCTTTTTCTCGTTGAAAACTTCATACGGGCTCGTCGTTTAGAAAATACCAGTTGTACAAGTGTTCGTATTATTTTAGAACGAACATTTTAGGAATGCAAAGTTGCTCGAGAAATGTTAACACGTAGACATATAGACTTATACAGAGTATTTTGATCACTTTACAATTATAATTTCAACCAATTTCCCCTGAAATTAGGCAACCTGTACCTACCATCAGTACCAGAGAACACCCCATAAAAATTTTCATCTGAATCGGACAGCAACACTCAGAGTTATAGGGAAATCACAAACAAACGGATTTCCAATTTTATGTCGATAATAAGTTTGCATTCACAGATGAGAGAACGTATTCCACTGGTATATCGGGCTGTGTCGCGAAACGATTGCTACGGATTTCGTAGAAACAGAATTCTCTACCGATCCGAGTATATAGGATCGACCGACCACTCAAAAAATTGCTTTAAGCGGATATGGAAACGGTCGTTCGGTTCTACGATGTCGCGACGAGGGGAAAAAAACTGCGCGAAGCAATCGAGCCGCGTCGTAAACTGCACGAAATCCGAAATAACGTTACGGTTCTTGCTGCACAGAGCGCTCCAGATATAGTAGCCTAAGCTTCTTCCGTTAGTCCTCTGTCCATCGTAAATTTTGATTGACAAACTTCGTCATTAAAATGTGAATCACAGCGTCAGGGGATAATCCATTCGGAGCCGTGGCAATCTGTTACGCAGTTTTCCATACCACTTTGGATAGATGAGCAATTATTTCGACTTGAAACTCTTCATTATCTATAATGAAGCGTGACTCTGAAGTCACCGCTATCTGTATTTTTAAACTTTAGGTACAGGAGAAATGATATAAAAATGATCGCGACACCTTGATCAACACTGTGAATGTTCGACGCACAGCGGTAACATTTGCAAACCAATTTCATAGAATCACCGTCGTCTAATCTAAATATTCGTGAACACTATACGAACGGTGGCATGAAAACCGTTTGACCTGTGATATTCGACTGTAATCGATGCGTTATCGATGAAACGTTGCTCGGAAAAATTAAAACAAATAAACCGCCGTACCTGCGTTCGCATATTAACGATTCGAATTGCTGTCGAACAATTTCACTCTGTTAAAGCGCTTTTAGTTCCGAGCGATTTGAAATACGTGACCGCGAGTCTATGATAAAAAAGAAAAAAAAAAATGATTAGGCTGTCGATGACGTCGAATAAAGAACATCTTTATAGGAAACCAAGAGGGTAACTGAAATTATTATAGGCATAGGGCCTAATTGTTTAATGTTAGCTAGGGATGTTTTGTAGATGGCTAAGGATTGTTCATTGGTTTGACTCCATTTTTTTTAAATCGTATCGAACTTAATACTCTGCCCGCCCCGCGGCGAGAACGAGCCGTGGAATTTTCGTCGACACAGCCGATTATGGATTGAAAAGCGGCCATAAATCTTCGCGAATACTTTACACGCACGTTCCAACGAAACAAAGAGGGGTACGGCCGTATCAGGGGGGATAAAATTTCGTCGCTGCTTCGCATCGGAATCGCTCGAAATTGAATTTTACCGAAACACGAATCGCTTGATTAAGCTGCTTCGCGACTCGTTCGTCGATATCCCCGCGATTTTCGAGCGTTCCGAAGCACCAGAACTCTGTGTCGTTAACCTCGTGATACTAACGCCGTTCGGATGTAAAGCCAGATCCATTTATATCGAATTCTCGGCAAAAAAAAAAAAAAGAGAGAAGAAAAAAGCGAACTGACCGAACGAACGCTCGGGGGCAGCGTCACGAATTGCGAAAAGCCAGCGAACTGATCGAGTTCACGTTACATCGTTCGATTTCGTTCGCTGCCAATACACGGGATACAATTTCCCACGAGCGGAAAACGTCTACGGTAAACATTTCTTCCGGGGACGGTTCGAGCACGGTCGAATTCGTTGGGAGTTGCTGGAACTGCGACGAAATTTCGATCGAGCTGTTTGCGAGCCGTTCCAAGTTCATTTTAAGGTGTATTCAAGGTCAGACTTCTAGGAGGTCGCAAGCTCTTGGACTCCTGCCTTGAACAGCTCGAGAAACTGTGTTAGGGAATCCCTTTGATGCCCTACGAATGTAGACAAAGTTGTGCGAAAGGCTTTAATATAGATGAATGGAAACTATTTTGTTTATACTTATCACAGAGGTCCATGGGAGCAGATACTAGTTCTATCGTTTTGTTCGTTTCAGATTGCTTCGTGACCAATCCCAGTAACTATCTACGGGGCGACAGAATTGTTGCCAAGCATGGGTAAGCGATTCGATAAAGTAGTAACGATAATAATAACCATACGTGACGTACACTCGAATAAAATTTTGCTATATCCGACTGAAGGCGAGCGTTCGGATCCAACAGCGACACACAAGCGTAATCGAAACGAATGCATCAGCAAACAAAACAAAATGCACTCTGGCTCCATCCAAGCGAAGAGTTGCGTTGCACATCCCCTCCCATTAGATCCGTCAAGGGGATAACTGCGAAGATTACGTAACTGGATTTACGAGGGAAATTAAGATTGATCTCTGGTCCAATTAACTGATTCGATCGTATGGTTCATCCGATTAGCGATATGAAGGGGATTAAGCGTTGTCTAAGTATTACGAGCCGCGGACGGCCGTTGCCAGGAATTAAAAAACCGATGAGGGTGGGGTCAAAGGATGCGTCTTTCAATTATAAAGTCCGGTCGAATGTCGATCAATTCGTTGGATCGTGTTAAAAAGCTCCCACGGAATTGGATAGTGATTACTTTAGGATCGTTTTTTTGACTAGTTTTTCCGTAACAATCGCTGATAGTGGATCGAAAGCCACGTTTTCAATCTCCAATCGTAAATCAGTAATGCGCATAACCATTCGCAGTTAATCGTGTATCATTATTTGCTAAACATTACCAAGTATTCGGTAATTATAATCGTGAATAATATTCTGCACTGTTTTTCTAGTCAGTAACTATTCTATTATCTAGAAATTAAATCGAGCAAAATATTATTTTACAACGAATATCCTTCGGTTGACCATGAGATTAAATATAGGTAATTAAGTATAGGTATAATTTCTCGTTCTCTTAGCTAGATTGAGTTCCATCGCATATTGGCTATTGATCGGTCGTCTTTAAAGTATTTAAATCAGATTCCCATTAAACCCCGCTCGGCTTAAATAAATGCATATTTTGGAAAACATAAATATGCAACGCAGCTTTTCCGCTTGGCTCCTTTGTAAGTAGGACTTTTATAATTATTTATGAGAGAAGCGGTGTGACCCCCAAGAAGCTGAAAGTACGTGCGCGAATGTGTTCGTGTGGAGGAGTATGAAATTGTCGAGGGACTCGGTACGGCGGATGTTGGCTGCATTTCCATTATTAACGATGAAGGTTATTCTGGACTAAATCTGTTTTTTAATTATTCTTTCAACTTGCGAGCATCAATTGTAATTTTATTCCCAAGAAATGACTTCTCCCTCGCAAGGTGAACTAGAATTCATTGAATGGAGGGTTGGTGACCGCCACGCAGATGTCCCATATAAAATTTTAACCAGCACGAGCTGGTTGAATGCGGTTTATTTTTGAACCGAGGAACGATGCACACATTTCTCCATACGGATTAAATCTGGAATGGCTGCCGCTGAGAATAGAAGACTCGCAACACTCGAGTGGTTTCTCGCGTCCCCGATAAAACGGTTGACTTTCAATGCCGATACAGAGAATATATCCAGGTCCTCGCGGGACTGCGTTGGAAGAGGTCGAGTGCCGTGAAGGGCGAGGGGGGTTGCAGTCGGTGGATAGGGCGGGGGAGGGGGCTTGTAATGCCAATTACCAGTGGTAATCAATGGACCTCGCTCAGACCGCGCCGATAATTTCAGGGCTGGCTGGAAAATAGGCGGCCCTGTGTGCCATAGCCGCGCATATATATATG